AAGGAGATGGTGCATTTCCATAATATTGTAAGTATGCAGTATTACTTTAATAATGTCATTTAAATAAGCCATAAAAATCTTTATTTTTGCTGTTTCCCAGTAGGTGAATACCTGTCTCATCTTTTTCATTTCTAGCTCTAATCATTTGTATACTTACAAGAACAAATTGCTTTTTACATTCCCTTGGCTTCATCAACTCCATTAGTATATTTTTTAAAGCTACGTTTGTTAGGTATTCTGCTAGATGATCTAAATCCAAAGATTAAAACAAAGTTATCCTTGATATTTACAAAGATAACTTTAATATTCATATAGTAAGTAAAAGGATATAAAAATTCATACTGTAACTGAATGATATGGGGGTCAACCTTTACCTTTTTACTCTGCTCTTTTAGTTAACACCATAAATTCTATTGCTATAATATTATTATTTCCTTTCTTTCAGGGCTTCCCTAGTAGCTCAGCTGGTAATGAATCCACCTACAATGCAGAAGACCCTGGGTGGATACCTGGGTCAGGAAGATCTGCTGGGGAGGAAATAGGTCACCCACTCCAGTATCTTGGGCTTCCTGGTGGCTCAGCTGGTAAAGAACCTGCCTGCAGTGTGGGTGACCTGGGTTGGGAAGATCCCCTGCAGTAGGAAACAGCTACCCACTCCAGTATTCTGGCCTGGAGAATTCCATGGACTGTATAGTTCTTGGGGTTGCAAAGAGTAATATTGGGATCTGAATGATATTGGGGTCAACCTTTAGCTTTTACTCTACTTTTAAAAATTAACACCACAAATTCTATTGCTGTAATATTATGGTTTCCTTTCCTTTGAAGCTACTATCCTTTTTCTTTACATCTTTTCCATATTCTGCCTGCTATTTCCCCCTTAACCCCATACAGCCCCTTGAAGAATAGTCTTGAAGGATCCTTCCTTTAATTCCAAACCTTCTCTTTTTTTCAAAGCAATTCTTTTGGTAATACACTTGGCTCTCAACCACTTAGTTTGCTGATTCATACCTACTTAACACACATGCTGATCTAAATTATTATTTTTTTGGTGTAACATTTCAAGCAAATCAGGAAAGCATATTTGGTAAAATTTTAGGTGAACCACAGTCTTTGAAATACTTCAGAGAAATGCCATAAGCATTGTTTGAGAGGAAGTAAGTTGCCAGGAAAGGAAGAGATTGTGGTTATCCTTCTATAGTTGCTTTTCTTTGATGTAGAAAAGAATAATTTAGAAATCTGCACACAACTCTTGGCCAAAATTAAACTAAGGGTGTCTAGAATTCAAAGCATAGAATAATCTTAATTATGTTACAGTGGAAATAATACTTTTGCTCATGTAAAAAGCCAAGCCCACCACTTGTACTCTAGAACCCATCTCCTCTTGATTTTTCTGAAAACATTACTTTTGTAATTATTTCTCTTCCACCCTTTTTTGCGGTACTGATTTTTTATCTTTTCACTGATTCATTTCCAGCATCAAAAAAAAAAAAAAAAAAAAAGCAACCCAAAGGAACAAAACCCCCCATGTTCTAAGGTCTACCGTATTCAAAGTACAATCATTTTCCTTGATCATATATTCTCCTCCAGCTATTATTCCATTATTCATTCATTCTTCTCAGTATATTTGTCAAAAGATTTGGCTAAATGCACACTCTCAAATTCTTCATTTTCTGTTGTCTTTTCAACTCATTCCATTCTCTTCTCTTCACAAAATAATTTCTGATCAATATCACTAGGGACTTCCACATTGCCAAGATAATGGCCATTTAACTATCCCTGTATTCTTGACCTTTCAGCATCCTTTGACATAGTTTGCCATCTTTTGCTTAATAAAAACTTTCTTCCCTGTGTTTCCGAACACATCTCTTTCTTTTTTCCTGACATCCTCAGCTACCCTTTCTTAATCTCACTTACTGGCTTCCTCTCTGTTTTAGCCCTAAATGTTGGAGTTTCTCAAGGACAGTACTTAGCACTGTAAGTACACTCTCTGAGTGAGCTCATTCTGCTTCATATATAGTTCTTTTTCTTGAGTTACAGGTACAAATATCTAAATGCACATTAGGCATTTCCATTTGGATGTCTAATAGGCATCTCAAACTTATGTCCACAATCAGATCATTCTTTTTCCAAATACAACTCCTCATTTCTTTCCTCTTGTCTTCTTGATTTTAGACAAAAATCATATTTAATTTCTCTTGTTATACATTTGGTCTTCTCTTGTGGCTCAGAGGGTAAAGAATCTGCCTGCAATGTGAGAGACTAGGTTCGATCTATCCACCATGATGAAGAGGTCCTGTTATTCAGACCAGAAATTCATTAATGGGGACAGTAAATAGAATTCAAAGCAGACACCAACTTCCAAACCTAACTTCATTGCAGGTAATTAAAATCTCAGAGGAGTATAAAGTGACCAGATATGGGGATTTTTATGCATGAGTCCAGTGCTCAAAAAACACAAAAAATTCTTATTTATAGTAATACAACTTAAGACAATATTTGATATTTCAGTGCCAGTATACATTATTCATTGATGACATCTTCAAGACGACCCTAACAGAGTTCACTCCGTTATTCACTGTGTATGGAGTAGCAATAGGTTTTTCTATGTTGTTGAATTATGCACTAACAATGAAAAAGTAAGAAGACACTTACAGATATGTATATGAGAAAGTACCTGTGTTTGCACAGGAAATAAATCTCAACATTGTGAGATAAATCACTGTGCATGATGGGTTCTGAGATTGCAAATACAAATACAATTTGACTATTCCTACCAGATGAACAAGGAAAGGGATGCTTGTTTTATTTTTCACAATACTGTGGCAAAAAAAAATCTCATTTGGGAGAGCATATGAGTATATGACTATAGTTATTAATAGGCAACGCACTAAGTGTTCATCCATGCAGTTTGGAATTCTGTTTGTGTCCTAAGACATAAATGAAAATTTTAAATACATTATGGAGAAGGCAGAAGAAAAATTAGATGACTTATTGGATTATGTTTAGAGAGTATGAGTCTATGGAAGCAAGGCAGAGGCAGAAGAAGATCAAAAGTTCCAAGAGTTTCACCAGAAACTTGGAATATTTACACATCAGTACTAAATAGCAACCACAAGATGAACAACAGAAAGTTGGAACTGCAAATTTCAACAGCTGATGGTAGTTCGCCATTCTTCAATTTAGAGGCTTATTGAAGTGTTAAAGGTGAATAGCAAAACAATGAAAAAATCATCGCCCAGATTCTTGGTATTCACATTCACATGGCCACCAACAGATAACATTGTCACAAAGATGGTAACAAAATCTGTAAATACAAAATTATTAACAGATGCTGCAAATATAAAACCAATAACCAGGTCCATATACACTTTAGAGCAACCACTTATTGATTTAAAAGTAACCCTGCCAAACTTCATGGTAAGAAAGAATAAACATGAAATCCATAACTGTCAATGAATTACAAATCAAAATAACTCAAAAAACATTTCAGGGAAGTTAATGTTTGTATTATTTAATGACTCATGGACCAAATGGCTCAATGGATGCTTTTGACAGGACCAAATGTCTTGCGAGGGATAAAGTACGGACACTAGAACTGAAAAATTAAGGAAGTTTCTGGTGATGCTGATAACCATGATTCTCACTATTGAAGTGGGAGGCTGTAGAAATGCAAAGGAAGAGATTAGCATAATCCATGTTGCAATGTATTAGATTTGGCACCATCAGCATAAACTTGTGGAGCCAACCGAAAAACTCCTGATGGCCAAAGATTGAACCATGTGAACAATAAAATAAAATAGCATTAGATTGTCCCTCAAAACATAAAATGAATGTGAATGACTTTCATTGATTTAAATGGCTGAATGAATAAGTAAATGGAACACTAGTCAAACATCCTCTGCAGAATAAATCTAAATAATTTATGTAGATTCTCTCTACTGAAAACAGTGGGGCATAAATCTCCACTGAAGTGCTGGCTGAGCATATTGACTTCCTTCTGAAGAGTCCTGTGTGGAAATGGGGAAAAGTGAGTAATCTTGCAGTAGTTAAACCTGATGAACACCATTATAGTCAGATGATCAAAGTCATCCTCAATAGTTATGTTATAAAAGTACCCTTCATCAGATGAGCTAAGAATGACTATTTGTCTATGTGGTCTTCCTCCAAAAACCTGTGTGTGTCAGGCACTCTGGCATGTGTGTTTGTGACCTCATGGACTGTAGCCCACCAGGCTCCCCTGTTCATGAGATTCTCCAGTCAAGAATACTGGAATGGCTCGCCATTCCCTTCTCTAGGGGATCTTCCCGACCCAGGGATCAAAACAGAGATCTCCTGCATTGCAGGCAGATTCTTTACCATCTGAGCTACCAGGGAAGCCCTCCGAAAATATATAGCCTAGTATAATGATGAGAAAAACATCAGACTACCTCAGCTTAGGAACATTTTGGAAAATATCTAATCAACATTCCTCAAAACTGTCAAAATTTAAAAAAAAGAAAAAAGTGAGAAACTATCACACTAGAGATATCCTAAGGAGATGTCAGAACTAAATGTATCATGGTACCCTGAATGGGATGGATCCTTGAATAGAAAAAGGTCTTAGGTAAATATTAAGGAAGAGGTACTGGACAAAAAGTGAATAAAGTATAGACTTTAATTGAAAATAGTATATTAATATTGACCCATTAGTTCTGACAAATGTACTAATGCAACATGTTAATGATAGAGAAGATGGAGTGTTGGGTATATGGTGATTCTGTAGTGACTTCACAACCCTTCTGTAAATATGAAACAATCTTGAAAGAAAACATTTATTTAAATAATGAAGTTCCCCTCACTCTTCAACCATATCCTTTGTGGTTTCAAAGCTCTAGGCTTTGTTTCAATGCCACAGCTTGTAGGCACTGACTGCTTTTGATCAAGTGATGTCTCTTTTTCCATCTCATTCAAAGATGGATTATTCTGTTTATAGGATGTTTGGACAGATGCAAAACACAGAGGAATCAATGATGCAGAAGCCAAGGAAACATCCCTGTCATTGCCAACCTACGTGGACATGCAAAGGTAAGAAACCATAACCTTCCATGAGGCCACAGATTACGCAGCTAGAATTTTCTATTGGTCTTTTAGTCTCAGACTTTTAATGAGAACTTTTAAGAACTAGAACTGTAATCTATTATTCAGAAAATTCATAATCTTATTCTGAAATAATCTGTTTACTTACATGTCTCCCCATTAGACTGTGCAGTTTTCTATTTCTGCAACCCTTCTATTCAGTCTAGTTTCTGGCATATAATTATATGTTTATAAACATTGTTAAATTGAAAGTAATGAATCAGATCTGACTTGACCTAGGTTGAAGATTAAGAAAGTATTATAATGCTTATTTTGTTGAGGCAAAGTTATAAAGACTGGCATCTGAGTTTTGCTTCATGAACTAATATAAATATATAACTTTTATAATATTTCAAACAAAATTTAGGAAGATAGATGGCTATAGTACTTAATCTTACTTATGTTTCTACTTTAGACAGTAATTTTTAATATAATTTAATTCTTTTGATACTTTTGATATATTTTCCTTTTTGGGTGTCAGTTTGACATATCTGATATATTTGGGTGTCTTTTGATATATTTTTCCTTCCTGGGTGTCAATCCCACTGAATATTATATGTTTCCAGTCCAGATGTACATAAACTTAAATGACAAATTTTAGTGGAAATGTTTTGAGTAGTTGATTATCTAATAACCACCCATTTGATTATTATGTGAATTATAGTTTTGGAACAGAAGTGTTAATATAAGAATAACATTCATTCACTAGTAACTGGTGAATTCTACAGAGTACTTTGGTGGTTGGTAGTGAGAATGGGGGGAAATGCTGAAATAGTTACAAAATTCTAGTGATGCTAATAAGTTCTGGTGATAATAGTTCTGGGGGTATAATGTACAACATGATGACTATAGATATCAATTCTGTACCATATACTAGAAAGCAACAGTGAATGTGCATCGTAAAAGTTATCACCACATCTACACACAAAATGATAACTATGTGAAATGAGGACAGCATTACTATGGTTGAACCCATGTCTCCTGCACACATCTACTGCATTGTAGGCAGATTCTTTACCATTGATCCACTAGGAAAGCCCCAATCACTTCTTAATGTAAGTGTATATCAAATCATCCTATTTTTTGTGATATGTCAATTATATCTTAATCAAGCTGAAAAAATTTAAAAAGCAATGAAATAAATACTTAAAAACCAAAACCAAAAAAACAAAAAAAATAGAAAAATATTTATTTATTAGATAAAGCATACTGGTGTCTTAGACTTCCCTGATGGCTCAGCAGTAAAGAATCCAGCTGCAGTGCAGGAGATGCAGGAGGTATGAGTTCAATTCCTGGGTCAGGAAGATCTCCTGGAAAAGGAAATAGCTACCCACTCCAGTATTCTTGCCTGGAAAATTCCATGGACAGAGGAGTCTGGTGTTCTATAGTCCATAGTGTTGCAAAAAGTCAAACATGACTGGGAACACACACGCAACTTATTCACCTCTTATTTAGAATTGATAAAACCAGTTCTTTAAAGATAACTAAATATGTGTTCATGGTAATGTAATATGTACAGAGATTGTAGATTTCTTTCCATCACATTAAGACAACGTGAACTCTCAGAGTTTGACATTTGTATTGTCAAGTACAAGTTGGCACTCATCATCCACCTCCACAAGGATTAAATCATGTGTTGTTGCAGCTGCTGCTTTTCAACACATCCCAAAAGGAGTTTAGGGTAGAGAGCAGGGTGCACACATCTCTGTGCTCGAGTGACAGGTCTTTGGATAGTTAAATATTTTCACGATTCAATTTTATGAAAATATTTTCACGATTCAATTTTATGAGCTCAATTCTTGTTTCTCTCCATAGCTAGAAAAGCACAAAAATCTGTCACGGTGAGATGACTGTGTTTTTGTGACTAACAAAGGTTCACAAGACTAGCAGAAATCTTTTAGGAAAAATATGTGCTTGATTGCACGCATTCCATCTTCACCAAAACCACTTATGTACTGACCTTCCCCTTGCCTCTTTGGAGCAACTTTTCAGAGCTATCTGAAATGCTCTCTCCTAGGCTGTAGTCCTCATTTTGCCTCGAAGGAACCTTAACTTGCAACTCTCTCATGTAGTGCATTTTTTTTTAAGTCACCAATTTGACATATTTTCAAGTTTGTTTTAAATGCTTAATGTTTCAGAAAGAAAAATTAATCATTACAGATAACCCCAAATGTCCCAAATGGCATCAGACTGCTCTGAGACTGACCAGTGTTGCCATGGTTACACTTGTTGCCACAGTGATAGGACTAACTGTCTGGGGTGAGTAAATGAAATCTACACATTGAACTATAGAGATTAACATGTGTCTTTTGGAGTTGTTGTTTTTTACATTTCTCTAACTTTTTCAGAATCATTGTTCATATTTAAGTAATATTCTCTTTCAATATTGTTTTATTTATGTTGGTATTATATGACAAATTTGATAATTTCATTAATTATTAATCATTTCCCCCTATGTAGAGGAGGTAATAAATGTGATTTTGTACTCTGCTAGAAATTTTGTAATTAATTGGCAAACTGTGGGTTTGACAGTCACAATTTGCTGAAGTTTTGTATTTTGGCAAAAGCACTTTGTTGAAAAAAATTTGCACAATAAGAGTTGGGAATTAAGTTTTATTTGGGACAGAAGGAAGACTGCCTCCTGGGAGATCGTGATTCAGATAGCTCTGAGAAATTGCACCTAGGAGGAGGGGGAGGAGAAGCTAGGTTATACAGAAATTTTGCAACAAAGGTCAGGTAATCTGAACACCAGAAGATTATTGTTAATTAAAGAAAGTCAGATATCTCAAGTTAAGGAATTTGGCACTTGTTCATGTATGGGAAGATGCAAGAGTCTGGGCTCACTGAAATCATCCTTTCATATGCACCTCAGCTATCTGGGGCTGATATTCTATGTTTTCACATCCTGAGCTTCTTTGGGGCTCACTCTCACAGGGAGTGGCTGCCATCTGATGGCTGTTAGATAGTAGGCATTCTCCTTCCTGAGTTCCCTTAGAGCTCACAGGCTCATTTTGGAGGGCTGCAATCATTGATGATGGTGACATCCTTGTTTACTGATAAGGACATACTTCATTTATCAGTTGGTAAACAATGTGGTTTTGACACTCCCAATTCTATGAACTGAAGTTTTATATTTTGGTGAAAGCACTTAATTTTATGAAAGATGATTTGGCCCTTAAAAAAAAAAAACAACTTATGGAGTTTACATATGACGATATTTTGAAGTTTTGACAAAATTTATCAGCTGCTTGAAAACTTAAGGCTGAGTTAAATTTAAGATATATTGTAAAATGAGCTCTACTTCAACAAGAGCTATAGTCCTATCTATTATTGTTTCCATTTGCTGTGTCCTATTATATGTTAGGAGTTGTGACAAATATCTTACACTCACTAACTTTTAGCCTTCCATCAGCTCTAAGTTCATTAAATATCTTCCCTTTTTATATATGAGGAACTCGAGGAAAAGAGAAACTAAGTCACTAGTTCAAGATCACAGAGAATTCTAATCTATTATACCAAACAGATGCAAATGTAAATATATTTTATTTTTAAAAATTTTTATTATTTAGGTAACTTGTTTTTACATTGTTTCTACTTACATTTTCCTAAGTGGAAATTCTCTGAGTCTCTAAGTTTATCATCCTTTGTCAAATTATAAGGCTAAAATGCTATAAACAGCTGTCCTCTCAGTCAGTATTTTGTGAATTTACTTAAGGTTCCATATTAACCGATGCAATGGACGTGAACTTGGGCAAACTTTGGGAGATGGTGAGGGACAGGGAAGCCTGGTGTGCTGCGGTCCATGGGGTTGCAAAGAGTGGGCAACTGAACAACAACATTGATGGATAATTAAAAAGCCAAGGCTTATATTTGTAGGAATCTAATTAGTGTTACTACTTTTCTTCATTTTTTAGTAAGTCACCTAAGAATATATTCCTGCAGTGACAACCCCAGTGAGAGGTTCAGTAGTGATAATGGAACCAAAGACTACAGCTGCATGAATCTTTCTCCTAGGAAGCAGCAGAACAGTACAAACTTCATAAGTAAGTGGTTTTATTTCATTGTGTTTTGGAGGAGGAAAACACCGGTTAACAAAAGAAAATGGTTCATCTGTATGCATATGAGAGCTAACAAAAGACGTGGCAGCTTAAATGGTCAAAGTTAATTGTTCATATACCTATGCTTCAATAAGGAACAGAGTTGTTGTTGCTAGTCACTAAGTTGTGTCCAACTCTTTGTGACCCCATGGACTGTAACCTGCCAGGCTCCTCTGTCCATGGAATTTCTCAGGCAAGAATATTGGAGCAGATTGCCATTTACTTCTCCAGGGGATCTTCCCATCCCAAGGTTCAAACCCGCATCTTCTGTACTAGCAGCGGATTCTTTATCACTGAGCCACCTGGGGAAAGAAAGAGAGAAAAAATGACTCTGATGGGAAAAACAATATGGGTTTTGGGGAAAGACAAGTGGGTTTTTCAGAACACATAGGAACTAATAAGGTTTGTGACAGTGTCTGTTTAAGCAGGCATGAGTAGTCTTTCCTTTTTCTTCGTGGCCATAAAATTCCTCCAGAGAAGGAACTTAAGGTAGGTTTCCTATCAGTCTCTTTGGTGGGAGTGGTTTTTACCCTAAAGAGGGGGTTCATGGCAGCCTCACTCCTCAGAAGGTAACTGAGCAGGACCCCATGGGGCCTTTCTGGGTGGGACAGGTCTTTCCCCAAGTCCTCTGCTTTAGCTCCTCTCTGAAGGGTCTAATAGTATTTGATACACATTTCCAGAGGTGTTTTGTAGATGTTCAAAAAGTCCCCCTCTCCAACAAATGGAAGATGTTAACTACTTGATGACCTTGAGTACAGAGCCCCAGGCCTGCTGGAGCCTAAGAACTGATGATGTTCACCCTTGGAACACTGGCCTGTTTCCTCACCGTCAGCCATCAGAGAACTGTGCATGAGTTGATCACAGACCTTGCAACCTCCCTTTCTCATCTAGCTTTTAAAAGTTCTTTGCCAAAACCCTTCAGGGAGCTGTGGGTTTTTTAAGGGCAGGAGCCACCCTTCCTTGCATGGCCTTTCAATAAACTTTGCTCTGCTCCAGACTGATGCTTTGCTTTGCTTGGCCTCCCTATGCAATGGGCACATGAACTGGAGTTAACATGATGTGTTTACTTTTTGTCTGATAAGCAAAGCTCAGAGGAGGCTTCTTTCTGCATCTCTTGAATCTCAAGTTGTCTTTCAGCTTAAAATAATTCTCATATAAAAATGGAATATTTTAGGCGGGTGAATTCAGATCCTTTTCAGTATTTTGAAGATGGTTTTCTTATTGTAATTACTCACTTTCAACTCTGGTTCCTGTTAATCTGTTCAGGTTCACTACTTTACTGTACTGCTCACTTACCTTGCTGCTGCTAAAACTCTTAAATACCACTGTCTTCAGTAGTCAACTTGCTGCTACTTCAAGTGTTACAATTCTCTTGCTCGTCAACAAACATATCACTATCTCTTTCTATTTTTCAAATTTTTAATTTATTAATTTGACATCACATACTTATTCAGTTCAGTTCAGTTCAGTTGCTCAGTTGTGTCTGATTCTTTGCGACCCCATGAATCGCAGCATGCCAGCTTATTAGGCAAATATAAAATACTTGGTTCAATGATGAAATGGCAAAAAAACTTAAGAAAAATTCCCTACCCACAAGATGCATATGTGTGTGTGAGAGTTAGTGAAGATATAATCAAATGCCTTTTTCATGTGAGGTTTAACTGATGAAACTTTTTCCTGACAGAGGTCTAGAGTAGTTTCTTGTGTGAGGCATTAGAAACTTGAAAGGTAAGGTGAGCCCAGGATGTCGAGTGTGGTTAAGGATGATATGATAACAGATATTGTTTTGGAGCAAAGGGCTTGCTGCCTAACACACGTAAAAATTCAATACTTGACATCAGCTTTTGAGAGGAGAAGCTTTATCGTGAGGTTAACCAATAAGGAAATAGCAGACCTGTCTGTTAATCTGTCTTCCTAATCTGAGTTTCAATCATGCTTCTATGAATTAGGAGGGGAGGGTGGTATGTGAAATTTCTGATATGGCATGTGCTAACTAAAGAAATATTCACAATCTGAAAGTCAAGAGTTATGTTTTATTTGGTGGGGATTTTTGGAACTCAGCCTGAGAAGCAGCATCTCCAGTGACCCCAAGAGAACTGCTCTGGGGAGGTGATGAGGGAGCTAGGATATATAAGAGTTTCACATCAAAGGGCAGGTAATCAGGCAGTCAGAAGATTACTGTTAAATAAAGAAATTCAGAAATCACAAGTTAAGGAATTTAGCTCTTTTCTATGTATTTGTTGCTGTTGGTCAGTAACTCAGTCATTTCTGATTCTTTGTGACGCCCTTGAACTGCAGCACAGTTAGGCTTCCCTGTCCTTCACTATCTCCTAGAGATACCGCAAACTCATGTCCATCATGTCAATGATGCCATCTAACCATCTCACCCTCTGTCAACTCCTTCTCATAGCTTCGTTTAAAAACTTAATCATACACTACTTTGTATAAAATAGATAACTAAAGAGAACCTTCTGAATAGCACATTTAGTGCTCTGTGGTGACCTATACAGTAAGGAAATCCAAAAAAAAGAAGGGATATATGTATATATGGACTTCCCAGTTGCTGCAGTGGTGAAGAATCCATCTGCCAGTGCAGGAGGCACAAAAGACATGGATTCAATCCCTGGGTTGGGAAGATCTCCTGGAGTAGGAAATGGCAACCCGCTCCAGTATTCTTGCCTAGAAAATTCCATGAACAAAGGAGTCTGGAGGCTAGAGTCTGTGGGGTCACAAAGAGTCAGACAAGACGGGGCACACACACATGTGTATATGTATAGCCGATTCACTTTGCTATACAGCAGAAACTAATACATTTCAAACCAACAAAAATTAATAAAAAATAAAAAGTCATGAATCAGGTATTAGAGTACAAAACTCACTATTTTTTAAAATATAGCTGAAAAAAGTTAAATTTTAAAAGTCTCTTTACTCCCTCCTTTCTTCCCTCCCTCAGTCTCAGGAATTAGAGATGATCTGGATAAAATATTCTTGAGGAAGGTGGTAGAACATTTACTTCTCAAGGCACACAGGAAATGCAAGTTTCTCATAGAGAATTAGCTTCCACTAACTGAATATGCGGACTTCCCAGGTGGCTCAGTGGTAAAGAATTCACCTGCCAATGCAGACGATGCAGATTTGATCCCTAGGTCTGAAGATCCTCTGCAGGAAGAAATGGCAATCCACTCCAGTATTCTTTCCTGGGAAATTCCATGGACAGAGGAGCCTGGTGGGCTACAGTCCATGTGATCAAAAAGAGTTGTTCATGACTTACCGCTAAACAACAGAAACTGAATATGCAAAAAACAGTTTTAGGATGCTCAAAGAGTTCTATCTTGAGCATTTTGGGGCAAGATTTCCTTCAATTTCTAATTAGCCATTCTCTTCTTCAGGGGATATTCCCAACCCAAGGATCAAGCCCCCATCTTCTGCATTGCAGGCAGATTCTTTACTGTCCGAGCCACCTTTCTAAGTAGCCAATTCAGTTTAAATTTGAAGAAGTAACATCACTCACTCACATTCACATACCTCTCCTCCTATGAACTTGAATCAGCATTCAAGTTACCATAAGAACCTGCTAAGGAAGGTCAATATCAGGAAGAAAGAGCAGGATTTGGACCGTCTCTCTCTCTCTCTCTGTGTCTCACACACAACGACATGCACACAGAGAGTTCAGATTATATGTGCTAATATACTATGATAAAAGTACACATAGTTGATTTTAGTTGCATTTCTTATATACTAGAGAAATTAAATGCAAAATTGTACATATTAGATATTTCTATTTTTATTCTGTAAAATGCCTGTTCATCATCTTTGCCCTTTTTGCAAAAAAAAGAAAAAGAAAAAGAAAAAATGGAGTGCTTATTTTTTCTTTATGTGTTTATTGTTTAATATGAAAATTAACCTTTCTCATAAGTTATGGCAATTTTCTAAGTAAAAAACCCACCTAAAGCTATAAGCTTTTGCATAGTTAAATGCCATGAGTTATGCTAAAGTATATGTATAGTCTTGATGTTGAGTTGGGACTGTTGCTGGCCAAAATCCTGGCTTTCTCTGCCCACCAAAGCCTAATAAAAAATATGGATAGTTTGGAGGAGATAGAAATGTGGCTTTAATTCTCAACCAGTGGAGAGGGCAACACAGTAGGCTTATGCCTCAAAACCTGTGTCCCCCTTCCCATGAAAAAGTGAAAATTATTCACTCAGTCTTGTCCAGCTCTTTGCAGCCCCGTGGACTGAAGCCCACCAGGCTCCCTTCTGTATATGGAATCCAGGCAAGAATACTGGAATGGGTAGCCATTTCTTTCTCCAGGGGATCTTCCAGATGCAAGGACTCAGCTTGAAGTACAAATATTATTAATTTTTCTGAATATAGAAATATATACCTGAATATAGATTTATTTTCTAAGTATAGATTTTATTCATTTCTGAGTATAGATTTATTTTAATGCTTTTTTTCAAGTTTTTCCTTTCCATGGTGATATGTCTGGAGGTCCTTGGGGCATAGAGATATTGGGATCATGGTAAACATTTTGTTTTACAAAGTTACTGATAAAGTATGCGTTGAAACATATTATTCTGCATCAAGTGTGCTCTGAAAAGGACATTTTGTTTTTCAGAGTGGTTTTCCCCTGGTGCCTTTTAGATATCTAGACATTTAATCTCTCTGTTTTTCTATTTCCTATCTAACTCGAAACTGTATGACCTTTAGTAAGTTACTTAAGCTTTATTTTAGTTGCCCTCTTTATTCTTTGCTTAACCTTAGCTTTAGTGCCTTTATTTATGAAATGTGGAACATGAAGTTAATAATTTTATGTCATAAATGTCATATAAAGAAAAACATTTCATACATTCATATGAATAAAGAACTCAGGAAATTACTTAATTGTAGCCCTTAATAGGAAGGAAAGAGAAGACTGGTGGGCTGCAGTCCATGGGTTCACAAAGAGTTGGACACCACTTGTGTGCTGAGTTACTCAGTCATGTCCGACTCTTTGAGAACACATAGACTGTAGCCCACCAAGCTCTTCAGTCCATGGGGATTGTTCAGGCAAGAATACTGGAGTGGGTAGCCTATCCCTTCTTAGGGGATTTTCCTGACCCAGGAATCATACTGGGGTCTCCTGCACTGCAGGGGGTTCTTTATCAGCTGAGCTACCACTTAGCTACTGACTAACAAAAATGACTATTTCTGGCATTTATCTCTGTCTGCAAAGAGTCAGAAGGGACTTAGCAACTGAACAACAACAACAATCTCTTTAAAGACTATCAGTGAAAAAAAAAGACTATCAGTGGAGGAGGCGTTCATCTCTTAAAAGTGAGACAAAATTTTTTTAAAGAAATTGTTTACAAAATTAGTGCCAAAATTGATTTTGATATCCAAACCTTGTTTTCGAATCTATTTCTTCTTTTTTTATGTTATAGGAAACCCTAGCCAAAACTTATGCCCTAATGACTGGGTGCAGAAGAAAGGGAAATGCTATAACTTTTTCAAAACCTATCAATCATGGATCGATAGCCAAAAATTCTGTTCAACAATGAAATCACATCTCTTGGTGATCCAAGATAAGGCTGAATTGGTAAGAGCTCATTTGCCATGGAAAAGAAAAAAAAGCCCTTTTAAAACTAAGAGAAGAGCTTCTGTGTGCTCAGTGGTGTCTGACTCTTTGTGACCCCATGGACTATGGCCCACCAGGTTCATCTGTCCACAGATTTCCCAGGCAAGAATACTAGAGTGGGTTGCCATTTCCTTCTCCAGGGAAATCTTCCCAACCCAGGGATCAAACCTGGATCTCCTGCATTACAGGCAGATTCTTTAGTGACTGAACCGGTGGGGAAGCCCACAGAGGTACTCATCAAAGGCACTACCCATATCTAACAATATTCCTGGTATCTTGGGTAGGACACATGGAGGCTCCTTAGTCTTATTATTTATTTTCCCCGTAAACATCAGTCTTCTTCAAGACTGCACATTGGTAGGCAAAAGGATGGCTATCTCTCCTTTGAGTAGACATTAATTCCTAGTTTTTGCTTCAAATTCTCTTTTCATCCCTTCATCAGTTGCTGTTTATATCATCCTCATGAATTCCATTAAGTAGCAAATGCCTTTACACAATATATGCAAGAATACTTTGGAAACCTTCCCATATTAATTTCCTACCTTAAGTATGTAGAAAACCTCTTCAACCTTCTTAAGGTTTTCCTGATTAGGAGGATAAATATCAAAACATTTTAAAGTCTGGACAAAGGTCAGAAGAAGCTGTTTTAATAGTGTAACAGTTCACTTCCTCTGGATCCCTTTCACAGGATTTCTTACAGAGCAATATACAAGATGGAATTTACTTTTGGATCGGATTGAACATTTCTAATCCACAAAAGATGTGGACCTGGCTGGATGGCACCCCATTAAATCTACAACTGTGAGTGTTTGGCATTTGAGTGTGTGTGTGTGCCCAGTCATGTCCAACTCTTTGCGACCCCATGGACTGTAGCCCACCAGGCTGCCCTGTCCATGGAATTTTCCAGGCAAGAATACTGGAGTGGGTTACCATTTCCTATTCCAGAGGATCTCCCCGACCCAGGGATTAAACCCGACCGAGTCTCTTGCATCTTCTTCATTGGCAGGCAGATTATTTAACCCTGCACCACCTGGCATTTGAGTACTGTAGGGGGAATTTAATAGTTCAACAGCCAATCCCTACTGGGGGCTGCCTGAATCTGAAGGGAGCCAACTGGTTCCTACAGATTGAAGACTTTAATCTTTATTAGTGTCTAAATGATCAGAAAATTTGCCTTAGAGAAACAGACTCCTAAGCTAATTTATTTTCATATTTGGCTTTCTTTTAGCTTACAGCTAATGCTAGAGGTATAAATGGAAAATCATAATCAGTGCAAAATTCTCTAAATTTAAATTCTTTTTGTGTGTTTCTTAAGAAAAGAAGTTTATAGAATAATTCTTATTTTTTTAAATTGGAGTATAACTGCTTTACAATGTTGCATTAGTTTGCCTTAGTACAGCATGAAATGGTCATATGTATACATATATCCCCTCTCTCATATGCAAAATAAAGATCTTGGAAGACTGCTATGATCTGCATGTTTGTATCACCCAAAAATTCATGTATTAAAATCCTAACCATGATGTATTAATACACCATGATGTATTAAGAAATAGGACCTTTGAAAGATGCTTAAATCATGAGGGTGGAGCCTTCACAAAGGTAGCTTCTCCCACCCCAATAACTGGGAAATATTAAGGAGAAAGTTATATGTAACACAACAAATAGCCATTTGACTCATCAAATTCTAATATCCCAATAAACAATATCTATATTTTATGTACCTCATTCATTTGTGTTTAAATTCTATGGGTAGAGAGTACTGAATCTTTGGGGATTCTGTGCTAATCCTCAAAACACAGGCAGAAGGTTTGGTGAGTCCAGTCTACTCTCAGTATCAAGGCTTGGGGGATCATTAAAAGTTGATTTAACTTCTTGAAAATTTGAAATGTTGTGGTATCTCTTAAAGAGATGTGATGTGGAGGAAGTGAAGAAAGAAAATAGAGATGTTCAAGAGTGATACAGCAGACTTGTCAGGCTGGCTGAGGGGAAGTAAAAATTGCTCAAAAGAAGGAAGTCACCCAACAAATGAATATTCTTACCCAGAGACTATTTACAATATCTTTTGTTAAAATTCATACTCTGTACTCACATATGCCACAATCTCTATACACCCTCCACACTAAATTAACTTAAAAATTTTATCTTTGATTACTTTTAATGGATATCTCCCAGCATACCTTTTCTAGAAATTCAGCATAATCCTTTTTTATTTTTTAAATATTTTATTTTTAAGTTTTGTTGGAGTACAGTTGATTTAACATGTCCTATTAGCTTCAGATGTACAGCAAAGTGAATCAGTTATACATATATCCACTCCTTTTATCATTATGTTTTCCCTATAGAATGTGATGCTCTGCCACCCACATGCAAACCTGCTTAGAATTATTAATTTGCTAATCTGATTGAGTATTTTCTGATTTCTAAGATATTTTGCAGCATATTTGTTTAAGATAGGAAAAGTTGGTTTGAACATCATGGAAAAACAGAATTTAGGGGAAGTTTCCATCTTTTATGTTAAAGATAAAGAATCTGGGTATATCCTTATATACCCACATGCAGAGAAATTTTCTTGTAGAGCTGTCTATGTGAGTTTATAAGTTTTAAAAGGGAGTTGATCTTTTGTAGAAGCAAAGAGGCTCATTACAAACAGTGAAAAAATATTTTGGAAAGGTCTTATTCTATTCTTGTGGAGAAGGCAATGGCAACCCACTCCAGTACTCTTGCCTGAAAAATCCCATGGACAGAGGAGCCTGGTAGGCTGCAGTCCATGGGGTTGCGAAGAGTCGGACATGACTGAGTGACTTTACTTTCACGCATTGGAGAAGGAAATGGCAACCCACTCCAGTACTCTTGCCTGGAAAATCCCATGGACAGAGGAGCCTGGTAGGCTGCAGTCCATGGGGTTGCGAAGAGTCGGACACGACTGAGTGACTTTACTTTCACGCATTGGAGAAGGAAATGGCAACCCACTCCAGTGTTCTTGCCTGGAGAATCCCAGGGACAGAGGAGCCTGGTAGGCTGCCATCTATGGGGTCGCACAGAGTCGGACACGACTGAAGTTACTTAGCAGCAGCAGCAGCCGCAGCCTTCTATTCTGGCCCCTATAACAAAATGCCACAGGCTGGGTAGCTTATAAGCAAAAGAAATCTATTTTCCACAGTTCTGGTGTATGGAATTCCAAGATAAAAATACCTGAATGATCCTGTTTTGTTAAAAGGATTCTTCTTGGTTTGCAGCCAGAGCCTTCTCAACACGTTCTCACATAGTGGAAGGGGCTGTAGGTCTCTCTAGAACCTCCTTTGTAAGGAAATAATCCCATTCGTGAAGGTTCCACCCTCATGACTTAAGCATCTCTCAAAGATCCTAATCCCTAATATATCATTTTGAGGTTAGGATTTTAACATATGAATTTTTGGGTGATAACAAACATGCAGATCCTAGTAGTCTCCTAAAATCGTCAGTTTTCACACGATGGAACGGATTGGGAAACCAATGTTTCTTACATNCCATTTCAAAAAAAAAAAAAAAGCCTCACTTCTTTCTATCTAAATCAGATCTCCAATTCTATGGTCAAGATTGCATCCACTTAATTTTTTTCAAGGAGATCCCTTCCTTGATTATGTCTCTTTAACCTCCCTTTTCTTATGCCTTCCTTTCTATCTGCCATTAAACATGAAAGCAACAAGAAAATTGTCTATTAACCACATGGGTCTTTTGATTTCCACCCAGTTTTCCTCACCCCTTTTAAGTCAAATTTCCTAAAAATATTTATACTTGCCTTCCTCTTTCTGTTTCTCAGTCCACATTCTAAAATGTATTTTCTGCTTTTCCTGCTGTTGCACTGACGTGTTCTTACCACACTTTTGACAAAATGCAGTCAGGACTGTTTACTTTCACGTTATCTCTCAGCAGGGTTGCTCATTGTTGACCTGGCGTTCGTTTTTAAAATCTTTTCTAACCTTAGCATCTATGATGCAAAGTTTTCTTGAAATTCTCTCTACGTCTCCAACTATTCCTCCTCAGTGTTTTCTGCAACATCTATTCTCTTGTCTGATCTCTCTCTCTCTCTTTTTTTTTAAATTTTAAAACCAATGGTAAAATACATATAAAGTTCAGCATTTTTACCATTTTAGGCATACAGTTCCATGGCATTAAGTACATTCACATTGTGTACATCCATTACTACCATCCATTTCTAGAACTTTTCATCATGCAAAAGTTAACTGGATCCATTAAGTTTTTTTTCCAATTATTTTTATTAGTTGAAGGCTAATTACTTTACAATATTGTAGTGGTTTCTTAAATAATGATATTCCTCAGAGTTCTTGTGGGTCCTCTATTACACACAATTATTGGCTGAACTCATCCACTCTATAACTTCAATTGCTATCAATTTATTTTATTTTTAAATAATTATTGAAGTGTATTTAATTTGCAATGTTGTGTTAGTTTCAAGTGTACAGCAAAGTGAATCAGTTATCAGTTCAGTTCAGTTCAGTTGCTCAGTTGCATCCGACTCTTTGTGACCCCATGGACTGCGGCATGCCAGGCTACCCTTTTCATCACCAACTCTCAAAGCTTGCTCAAACTCATGTCCATCGAGTCAGTGATGCCATACCACCTTCTCATCTTCTGTCATCCCCTTCTCTTCCTGCCTTCAATGTTTCCCAGCATCAGGGTCTTTTTCAATGAGTCAGTACTTTGCATCATGTGGCTAAAGTATTTGAGTTTCAGCTTTAGCATCATTCCTTCCAATGAATATTCAGGACAGATTTCCTTTAGGATTAACTGGTTTGATCTTGCAGTCCAAGGGACTCTCAAGAGTCTTCTCCAACACCACAGTTCAAAAGCAGCTGCACATATACATATATTCATTCTTTTTTTTAAAGAGTCTTTTTACATATAGGTCATTACAGAGTATTAAGTAGAGTTCCTTGTGCTATACAGCAAGTTCTTATCAGTTATACATATAAAACAACTAATTTTATATGTAGCTGTGTGTATATGCTGGGGCTTCCCCGGTAGCTCTGTGGTAAAGAATTTGCCTTCAGTACATACGGGTTTGATCCCTGGGTCAGGAAGATCCCCTGGAGAAAACCCACTCCAGTATTCTTGCCTTTGAAACCCCATGGATGGAGCAGCCTGGCAGGCTACTATCCTTGGGGTCACAAAAGAGTCAGACATGACTGAACTACTAAACAAGTGTGTCTATGTCAGTCCCAATCTCCCCAATTCATTGACAACTCCCAAGCCCATACTTCTAGCCCAGACTTTATTATAGAGGATTGCCCATTGGACATCTCTGTGTACATCTCAAGACCCCTTAACTAATGAACTTAAACAGATTAGCTTAGTGGATTGGTAGCAATGTGCTCACTCTAGTTCAAGCCAGAGCTTTTGGAGTCAACCATGACTTCTTCCTTCTTTTCACTGTCAATATTCAAAATTTCATTTAAACCCTGTCAATTTTATCACATGATTATTTCTGGAGTCTGTCTCCATACAAACACTATTAATCACCCAATCATCTTGGATTATTGCTCTAGCTTTTCTGTTGCCACAGTCCATTCTTCATGTTGTCATCATGGATTAGATTCTCTGAACCTCACATCCACCACATTACTCACCACCTAATTTCCTTCGGTGGCTTTTCATTGTTTAAACCTTTTACCATCTCCTCCAGCCACTCTTTACTCCTCCCCCACCTCCATGCTGGTAACAATGCAAGCACACTAACCTTGTTTCAGTTTCTCGGGTGTGGCATGCTGTCTCTTGCCTCTAATCTAATCATATGTTTG